AGACACTTATTACCTTTTAATATGTCTAAGCAAAAGGCCCAGACTAGTTGTAAAGTGAGTCTGTGGTGAATGACCAGCAGTAAAACACACTAATACTATGTTTGCATCAACATTTTACTGTCTAGATTTGAATTCAAGTGGTCGTTTATTTCTTTATTAGACCGAGTACAGTCAGCTTGTGCATAAGATATATCAGCCACATAACAAACACTGATGTGTTTAACACTTATTGCAATATTTAACTCTTTACTTAGATTCACTGACTGGAGTGAAGTCCATAAACAAACTCATCCGAGTCTGCAGGGTTTCAAAAGTTTTTCCTTCATTCGCAGACTTACGGTCTTGTTATACTTGAACAAAAGATGCAAGACGTTGGACCTCGCTGACGTTATTGTAGATCCTGACACGTCCTCCCACTGCGACACGTCACGCACAATCGGAATCGACAGCGACGGCACAGTCTTCATAGTGGATGCTTATTTTCAGTTGATGATGGAGGAGTCGGAGGAAGATCTGATGTTTCTGTTGTTCACCCAGGAGGATTGCTATTTTGTAAATTTGTTCCAAAGAGGCCGCCACCGTTTGCGACAGACGGTGATGGAAGGTGTCCTTGTGCTGCGCGGCCGAGGAGCGCCGACTCTCGGTCAGCACAACCACGGAGAGTCGACGGTTCTCCACGTTGTCTCCTGTGTGCACAAAATTGTCCCAACTCCTTCAAAGAGCTTCTTCTCGACTATCCTTGCAAGTTTTATACAGTAAGTTTACAGTTTTAAGCTCAGGGCTCAGCTGACTGCAGCCACTTTACATAAACAAACACGCCCAGTAAGTTCTGAGCAACCACACGATGCTCGCCGCACAGTGCGGTGACAACTAGCTCCGACTGCGATCGATGCACAAGACGGGGTGTCAGCGGGTGGTAGGAGTAGAAAACGATCTCATTTTTATCATGCATCCATGTCAGCAAAACACTGGGCCTTCTCATTGAATATAAGTCAGGATTTAGTGGCAGACTGCCAGAGGACACACAGGATCCAGGTAAATTGAGACCTCAGACTTATGAGTCCTGATTCAGTGCAGAGCTGGTTGGACACTGATCCACCCAGGTTAAAGATCTGAATACCTACACTGCATCCGATATCTAAATTAATCAAAATCTTTCATGTCCTCTGCCAGACTATAGATAGAAGTCAAGGAGTTTATGAACACACCAGAAAAAAGTATAAACACCAGAAATGCACACAGACGAGTTAGGTCGCAGATCCCTGATCCAGATTACCGGTAATAACACACTGATACGATGCTGATTTAAACAGAGGTCACTCCTCCGGGTTAATAAACAACCGGAAATGCTGCAGACTCAGGCAAGTCGTAAACATTAACACGTGTTTACATTGATAACATACAGCTAACACATGTAAACATTTAGGTGGACTTTTATTTCCATGAGACATCTTTAAGTTTTTGCTCCATCATCTGCAAGGTGTTTGTTCATTTACTGTGTGAAATAGTAAAATTAAATAAATATTACATATCAACCACATTTTTAATGGCGTAACTGTGGGGGGCGCACAGCGTGAACGACTCAAATGAACCAAGTTATTTTAGTGTTTTATATTAACCCGGATCCATAAAGTGAACTGGATTTACCAGCTGAATTGAAGTGAGGATTCAAATCGCTAACCAGGGTGATTTAGAAATTGACCAGCTCTAATTAAAAGGAGGAGAACGTGAACTTATTTATTGATTATCAAATTTGAGCTCTGAGGGCTATAGCAAAATTCCTTTAGAAACTATAAAATTATTTACTTTTGAATTTAAAATTAAGCACGGGAATAAAAAAGAAAACATGGAGGGAGTGGGGGGGGGGCCACGTCTAGGGCCTCATAAAACTTTAGGCCGGCTCTGCATGAATGACATAGTTACTGAACTAAGTGTTTACTTAAAAATATCTTTACCTTGTGGTTTAGCCCGTGGTTTGGGGATGTTGCCCTTAAAAGAAGAGAAGCGGCTGACCGGTCGGTTCGTCCTGGTTTGCAGCTTTAAGGAGAACAGCTCGCTCCTCATCACCTTCATCCTCATCCTCAGGTTTTCGTTTTCCTTCAGACTTTGGGTTAAATGTAGGCGGAGAGTATCCGAGCTCTCCGAGAACAACTGGATGATTTCCGCCACCGCCGCCTTCACCAGCACGTTCATTATGGACAAAAGCTGTGACTCCATGTTCATGTTGCCGCCCGGCATGTTTGTGGACATGTTTTGATTCGATGCGGCAGAGAACTGTGTCAGAAGTCAGCGCGACACGGTCCGTGTGCTAGCTACAAAACACACTACACAATGGACTTCCTGGTTTCGGAAGGCGGCTACCGTAAGTTCTCGAAAGCAGGGGCGCTCCTGGTTCCGTTTCTTTTTCTTTTTATTATTTTCAAGGGATGTTAAATTGATGAATCCGATTTGTATTTCAAAACAAAACCGGAAGAGAAACTCACTTCTAGTTTTTGTGTGTAACTAACTATAAACGCCCCCGCACAATCCGCTCCTGCAAGCCAGGGGCAGATTCAGTGGTGGGGCCAGGGGGGCACCAGCCCGCACTAATGAGTCCATCTTCATAAGTGCCCCACCACCACAACCTATGAATGTATGAATGCGATCTAAAGCACTGATTAGTCTCATTGGAATGATTTGCTCAATTAGCTTTGTAGAGATCTAGTGCTGTGTGGATGGGTAAATGAGGCACAGATTGTAGTGTAAAGTGCTTTGAGTATCTTGAAATAAGATAGAAAAGTGCTAGATAAGTACAGTCTATTTACCATTTACCTCTGATGTCTTCACTCTGCTGAAATAGAAATACATTGGATTAGAGTTGCATTCGGGCCCAAAAAATTCTGATCCGACCCAGCCCGCAGTCATAATTTCCAAACCCGACCCGACAAATTAACAGTAATTACAGGTCCGGACCCGGAATTATTATTATTTTTAATTAGTTATTAACGGTCGGGGACGCGCGGCTTAATAAAAGGTGCAGAAGATTCGGAGCTGAGGGGGTGTTTGTCATTTCATGGCTGTAAAAAAGCATTTAAACCCTGTTTCTGCCAGCATTCTGATTTATTCACGGACCCTGCTCTGACATGTCTGCTTTGGGATCTCACCTGTTTGGGTCATCGGCCGCGCGCGTCCACTGCGTGCAGCGGCAAAACGAACGTCCATTTGGGCGATGGATCGCTGCCTGGCTGTATAGTCCCATCTGAAGCTTAACTGAACTTTTTACCTCTTTCAAGGCGGGTCAGCTCACTGTGAAATGGCCGTGTGCAGCTGGTGGATGTATGACAGGCCATGTTATCATATAATTGGATAGCAGCTGATCCTGACCCAATTACAAGATCGGCCCGGCCCGCCCATTAATCACACTATACCCGCCCAGCCCGGTCCTAATCCGGGTCGGTCCGAGCCAGGTTTCAGGTTCAGGTTAGAAAGGACACCGTGCAGTCCATGAAAACAAGGCAAGAATTTGTGTCGTCATCTTGGGAGGTGCTATGTGGCCTCATAGTTGCTGCAGCATGGAAGAAAATTATACATTTCTAAGGAAATAAATCTAAATTTAGCCAAGAAGCCCACTGTCCTGATGGATGTGCAATAATCCAGGTAGATAAATCTAACGTGGCTATTAGTCAGGTCCTCTGGACCTGAAGAATCCGTCCAGAGGACCTAAATTAACCTTGCTACAAGAAGCCCATTGTTTTGCCATTAAATGTTTTAACTATTGGAACCTGAACTTAAAATGATATAGTATTACATTTCAATAGTCTCCATTCTTGTCTGGTAATTGCAGTAAAGCAGGGAGCTGAGGGTAAGCATATACTGTACCACCCATGTGATAAAATACTATCAGTGTTAATAGCATTTTTTTCAAGTGTCATATTTTCTAAAATATTAACATACCAACCTGTTTAACTCTTTTTATGGATGACATATGTATGCTAAGTATTAATTAATTAATAGGTAACACAAAAACTCAGTTATTTATGCCAAAATGCTAAAGTGCATGTATAATCCCAAAATATTTAAAAGACTACATTTAATTTGGATTATTAGGCTAAATGCACTTAACTACAGACACCATGGCAGAGCTCTGGTTGAACTAAATGGACATTCAAAGCACTTAATTTCTTAAAAAGCAAATGTCTAGATAGAATAACTACATCATTTAGTAATTTTTTATCATGGTGGCATCACCATTTTGCCTCCACTGATGCTTGACTGGGCTTTGTGGGAGCCTAATTTCTACATGCTGTTGTACCATGCTTTCACAATATGCATTATATATGTTTATTTTAGTTAAAAGGGCTATTTATGTGTGTTTTGGATATGGTGATACAGTATACAGCATGCTCAAGATGTTAACAATATGTGACTTCAATATGTAAACAGGACACGGAGTGAAACATTTAGCACCTAGCAAGATGACGGCACGAACCTTGCCTTTCACTGTCAATGCCCATTATAGTGTACACAATATTTCCATTTCAGTGCATCACTATTTATAGATTAGTAAATGTTACAATATGCGATTGCTTAAACTTTTTTTTAACAACTAAATACTGGATGTTCTGTATATAATGTTACAAAAAAGCCCCAAAAGAAAGAAGAAATAAATCAAACTCGGAATATAGACATAACCTCTAATGCCATCATCTTTTTAAAAGTGAAGCCGTATATATTTTTAAACTATATTAATTGATCATGACTCATTTTTAACACCCTTTCAAACAGACTTTATTGATGATTTTTTTTATTTTTTGTAAAACTTTTTTTTTCCCATTAGCACACATTTAACAGAGAAGCCAAACATACAAATCTAATGTGTAAAACTCAAACAAAACACAGCAATAAGTGAAAAAAGTATTTCAGTCTTAGATTAGATAGCTCACATTAGAGCTGTAGTACCTCAGTACTGTAACAGTGAACTCAAACTCACTTAATATCAACAATATTTGGTCTTTTTAGTATTTTTTTTTTTTGTCTTCTGTCAGTTTTTTATGACTGTGCCTCAACTAAATCTCTCTCGGTTTCCTCCATCTCACAACTTTTTGATAAGTCTTCCTCCTCTTCATTTCCCTTCACTTTTTCTTCGCCTACTTCTTGTTTCTCCTCTTGGTTTTCCATCTTCTCACTGTCAGCGCTCGATACCTCTCCTGCTGCTTCGTTTCCTTCCTCTTTCTCTTCTTTCTGGTTCCCAGCCTTCCCATTTGCCTCCTTCTCTTTGTCCTTCCTCTCTTTTTCTATTTTGGAGAGGCTGTGGCAGAGGGACTGGACGTATGTGAACACACACATGGGGTCAGGGTTTTTGCCCATCATGATCATGTCAGAAACGTCCAGCAGAGGACAGCAGTCAGCCAGGGACCTGGTAGAGATCAAGACCGTGGATAAAGAACTCATGAGACAAAAAAAATAAAATCAACAAAGGCAGCAGATTTAATAATGGCATTGGGAAAAAAAAATGTTGTTCTCAACACATCCCATTATCTAATCTCATCTCATCTTGTCTCATCTCGTCCCATTTCAACCCAATCATCCAATGACAACCAATTTCATTTTTATTCAACATATTTTAATTTAATCTCTACTCATCGTTCTGTCCCATCTCATCCTTTTCATCCCATTTCATTTTATCCCATTCCACATCATCTCATGTCATCCAGTTATTCCCATTTACTCTAATGTATGTTCATCTAATCTCACCCCTCTTCATCACATTTCCTTTTCTCCCGTTCCATCTCATCTCTTCCATTCCTTCCCATTCCATTTGATCTCATCTCACTTATTTTCATTTTTTATCATTTCTTCCAATCATTCACAACCATTCACGTTTATTTTCATCTGATTTAATTTAATCTCATCCCTTTTCATTTCAGTTTCTTTTATCCCATCCCATCTCATTTCATCTTGTCTCATCCCATCCAATTTTTCCACTACATGTTATCTCATATCATCCAATTCCATCCATCCATTATCTTTACCCGCTTCTTCCTTTTAGGGTCGCGGGGGTCACTCACTGGTGTCCATGTCCAGCTTTCACTTTGTGAGAGGCGGGGGACACCCTGAACAGGTCTCCAGTCCATCACAGAGACAAAAGAGACAAACAACCATTCACTCTCTCACTCACACCTAGAGACAATTTAGAGTTACCAATCAGCCTAACATGCATGTTTTTGGTCTGTGGGAGGAAACCGGAGTACCCGGAGAAAACCCACGTAGCATGGAGAGAACATGCAAACTCCACCCAGAAATGCCCCCGGACCAGGATTTGAACCGGAGCGACCTGCTCGCTGAGAGGCAGCAGCTCTACCAACTGCACCACCATGCTGCCCTCATCCAATTTCATATGATCCAGTATCCTCTCATCCTGCCTCATTTCATTTATCCATTTCATCTCATCATATCCCATCACTTCTATTCTATCTACCTGTATATTTGATCTCACCTCGCCCATACACCATTTCATCCAATCAATTACATTCCATCCAGTCTCATCCCATTTAGTTTTATCACATCTCATTCCATCTCATCTCACTCCACCAACCTCACACCATCCTATACTGAGTAATGTAAACTTTTTAAATGTCATCTTTAAACATCTCATATTGTTATTGTGTTTAGGGACTGAAAATTCTGTACTCTGCCGTTTGGAAAGCCAAAGTGAAGTTTTTCTCCCTCTCCTTTGGTTTCAATGAGCTGAAGTCGAAAGCATCTGGGAAAAAACGATGGATAAGAGCACAGAACGCCAGCCCATCGCTCCAAGATGATGAAAAGTTTTCTATGTTGACACCCTGCAAAGATTAAAAGACAGTAAACAGAAAATTATTTTTGTAAGTCTTGCTCATCCTTCCTTGATCCTGGAAATAGAGGACAAACCTGAGCTCGTAGGAAGCGTTTGCATGTACTGAACTCACCTCGTAGTTGCGAGTCTTGTTGTGACACCACTGAAGGATCTTTTGCTTAATTGAGGCCCCTGTTGCCACAGCGGCAGACGACCTCTGAATTTTAAAATTGCGAGGGATTGGAGTTCTGAAAATATCCCAAAGTTACACAGGTTTAATGTGTATTTCAAAGAATGACTCTAAAATGTAAAACTTGTGAGATACTGGTAATGACTCACTCTGGGGCACCCTGTTGGAATTTGGCTATAATATCATTTTTAGCGGATGCTCTAATGGAGCGAGCTGAGGGTCTTGGTCTGGATAAAGAGGAGCTTGGAGGGGCACTCTTTCTTTTAGGCTTCACTTGTTTTTCTGACTCCTTAGCCTTTCCTTTATCTGTCATCTCTGCAGCCTCCTCTTTTGCTTGTTCCTTCTTCTCCATTCCTTTTGCCTCATTAGTTTTTACATCTTCACCCTTTGCTGTCAATTCACATCTACTCCCCTGTTCGTCCTTTATTTTTTCTTCTTCTCCCTCATTCTCGCATCTTTTTATCTCTTCCACCTGCCTTTCTTTCTCATCTTCCTCCTTTTGATCACTCTGCTTCTCATCTTTTTCTCCTCTCGTCGTTTCAGTTTCCTTCACATCACCAGCAGCCGATGGTTTGTCCTCATAGTCATCTCCAGCCTGTTCTGTGTCACATTCAGCCGGCTGAGAGACAGTCTGAAGCTTGTCTGTATCTTCAGCATTGTGTTTATCTTCTACTTTATCTGCCTCGCCTCTCTCTCCAGCATCCATTACACCCTGACCTTCAGCCACCTCCCCTGAGTCCTTACTCTCCAGCAAACTTGGCTCATCTGCCTGCAAATTAGGAAAGAAATGAGGGTATATTAGTTCAGCAAACTTGGTACAGCTTATCAAAAACATTTTTCTAGCTTATGGATAAATCAAAAATTCACACAGTTTTAGTTTTAACTATGACTTGCAATAATACAAGCAGTTCAAAGGAGGTCATGTGATTTTTTTTTATTATTTTTTTTTTTTTGTGAATGACTGCGTTTCACCTCAGTTGGATTATTCTTAACATGTTTAAACACTTAAACAACAACAGCAGACAAAATTATTTAGTTTAACAAAAACACTATGCAATATAATGTGAGTATCTTATAAAACACAAAAAATACAACTAACCATAATAAGATGGATAAAAATGCAAGAATACCTGCGTAATTTATTAATGTCATGTTATTTTTAAGCTAAAGGCCAAAGAAAAAACAAGTCATTAGCAGAATTTTGAATCGCTACAGTCTGACAGTTCAGTAGTGGTTTTAATTAATTACTGCTATGTAATATAATGAGTCAAAAGACCTGGGTTTTATTCATTAAATAAATGTAAAAGGAATATTTGTTCAATGTGTTCAACATAATGGTACTTCTTCCAGCTATTTAACTGTCAACAATGGTGTACCACAAGGCTTAGTCTTAGAATCCACCCTCTTCCCTATCTACATAAGTAATGTAGGTCAGATCATTCCTGATGAATCCTTACATTTCTATGCTGACAACACTGTTGAGCTAGAACAGTTGCTAAGGTTTTCCAGCTTTTACAGTCTGCATTTGACATCATCCAGTCAGACTTTTTCCATCTCAAACTGGTGCTAAATGCTGATAAAACCAAAGGGATGTTGTTTTCAAAGAGGAAGTGGGTACCAGCAGTCCTTCCTTCTATCTTATCTATGAATGGTGTTCCTATTGGGTTTGGCGACTCTTACAAGTACTTGGGAAACTTGGTTGATGCACATGTCTCTTTTAAGCCTCATGTTGAAAACTTTGTAAAGAAATTTAAAGTGAAATTGGGTTGCTTTTTCAGAAATAGATCCTGTTTAACTCTGCTAGGAAAAGCCTTGTGACTGCTACTTTCCTTCCGTCCATTGACCACGGTGACATTATTTACTGGAATGCTCCTGCAAGCTCCCTGCAGATGTTGGATGCTGTCTACCATGGTGCGCTAAGATTCATAACTGGCTGTAACTACAGTACCCCTCACTGCACTACGTGTTCACTGGTTAACTGGTCATCATTAACTTCTCGCAGACTCTCACACTGGTACATTTTCTTCTTTAAATCACTCTTTGGTCTGCTGCCTTCACATAGTTCCTCCTATGTCATTTCGTCAGTGAAGCTACAGCTTGTGCTCTCAAGACATCACCTGCAACGTCCTCTCAGTGCGGACAGTATTTGGCAAAAAGGCCTTCTCTTACTCTGCTCCTGTTTCCTGGAACACCTTGCAAAATGATCTGAAGCTCTCGACTTGGATGGGATTTTAAACAACTGTCAAGTCCATCCATCCATTTTCTTTACCCGCTTATTCCATTTTGGGTCACGGGGGTCGCTGGTGCCCATGTCCAGCAATCACTGTGCGAGGGGCGGGGTACACCCTGGACGGGTCGCAAGTCCATCACAGGGCCACATAGAGCCAAACGAGACAAACAAACATTCACTCTCTCACTCACACCTAGGGACAATTTAGAGTTACCAATCAGCCTAACATGCATGTTTTTGGACTGTGGGAGGAAACCGGAGCACCCGGAGAAAACCCACGCATGCACAGAGAGAACATGCAAACTCCACCCAGAAAGGCCCCTGGACCGGGGTTTGAACCAAGGACCTGCTCGCTGAGAGGCAGAAGCTCTACCAGTTGCGCCACCGTGCTGCCTCAACTGTCAAGTTCAATGCACAAATCAATGCAGACATGTTCCTGTTTTTAGCATCTTATATTATTATTATTATGTTTTTTTTTTTTAGTTTGTTTTATATCATTTATTTTATTTGCTTTTCATTTTATATGCTTTTATAGGATTGTTTTTGTTTAAAACAGGTCTCTCTTGAAAACGAGTCCACGTGACTCAATGAGACTAACCTGTATAAATAAAGGTTGAATGAAAAATTTCCTCAAAATAGACATCAAAGGCAACATATACATAGGCCCAGAATGGAAACCCCAAAACTGACCAGGGCTGCAGGTGAGAAATAACCTCCAAAGTGATCAAAACCCCTTTTTGTCAAATAAGTTTTAAACTATGACAAAGTTGTATCTTTATTACCAACTTGTTCAAGTTGTGAAACCAGGATGCCATAATGGTATCAAAAGCAAATAAAACTTTTATGAAATTATACCCATGTTAAAATATTAAACACTAATTTCAGAAGCTAAAACTCTTTAGCACAGATCGCCTCTTACTGGTGTTATTTTAGCCTTGCAGCATGTTTGTTAGTGACCTCCTGCAGCCATTACCAGTCACACCATTGCAGCAGTGAGTCATCATCGAGAATAGTAAACTCCACTGGGAGCAAGCACTCAGCTTCCAGCACCAACTTGTGGGAGTCATTCTTCAGTCAGGAATAAGAACAGGTGCAACACAACAACTGTGGCTAAAATCACTGGTCCAAACAAGACATAGCTGTGGCCACAAGGTCTCCAGTTTCCTGATTCTACTATGGATCATAATGCCAATCTTTAAGAGCAGTGCAAACATAAACGTTCATGCTGAAAGCTAAGATTAAGATGAAAATTAAAATGAAACACAAACCTTGTTGTTGGTTGTGTCTGATAGGCAGGTTGTTTCTGTCTCCCGAGTTAGTGATTCTTCCTCCATGATGTCCAGGTAATTAGATAAGTTAATTTATTTTGTTAAACTGACACCACAGGAATCTAAAATGATTTGTTTTCTTATAAATGTTTAATCCAGTAAAAGTTAAAGTCCTTAAAAAAAAAAGACAGCGTTTCACTTTTCCCTCCCTAGCCCTGTTGCCCCTTTCTCCCCTCTCAGGCAACACTGCTGTGTTTAAGATGCTTGTCAGTGTTTGTGGATGTCCCCCTTCACCCCCACCCCCTGCTGTGTGAGGATTCCTGTGCTTCTTTATCTGACCTTTTAAACAACACACGTTCCCAAAAATAGAGCCGTAATGGCACCGTTTCAGACCTACTGACCTGACAGCTGCATCTGCTGTGGAAACCACGACTGTACACTACACAGATGCCAGCATGGGGTCCATTTTACACACGTTTTCCTCCATGGACAGAAAGGGTGACCACAGTCTGGCTGCTCAGTCCTTAATGTCATGTGACGTTTACATTATTGTTCAAATTCAATTTTTTTATTTTATTTTATACTTTGGACCTGGATTTTGTCAAGTCTGCTAAGAAATGTTAAACTTTGCAGTTGATCAGGCAGATGTGAAAGCTGTTAAATTAAAACACTTGCATTGAAGCAAGTGCCTTTTGAAACAACTTGATGCTGACAATTTTCTCAAGTTGGTATTAAGTGCTCATAAGTCAAGTCAAGGTTCTTTATTGTCATTCGCATCACATGTGGTAAATGAGTTGGAACGAAATTGTGTACACAGGGTCCCAGTTACATTCAACAATAGCAAAAATATAAAGTGTAAAAAGAAACAGTATATAAGATAAAAACTAAGATATACACTATACGAATGCCAAACGGTACGCTAAAAGATCTAAGATATGTGCTAGTCATTAATAATAAATTGCATTAAAGTCAGTGTTTCCCCTACCATTATACAAGCAGGGTGCCCCACCCCGTCAACAGAACTCAGCACCCCGCCTACCAAACCAAACTCCCCCACCCCCACCCCCTGGCACTGACATAGCACTAAGCTAGCAGCGCGAAATACAGACTTTCTAGCTAAAAAGCTAAAGGCAGCACTCACATTGCCTCTTCCCTCATGCTGAACGCCCCCACCCTTGCTCAAAAACTGTTAGTAGAAGCTGCGCTCAGACATGTCTTCATCCCCACTCGTCAACAAAAATCATGGATGACATGAGCACCCCGCCATGGCAAGTTAACTAGGGGAAACACTGAAATTACTTTAATTACAACTGAATTAATATATTCCTTTGAGATTTATACAGGGCTTAATTTGCAAACTGGTCGATGTAGATGCAATTTCCTGCATTTTGGTGTACTTTAACAGGTTGTTTAACATCTATGGGTGCATTCACACCCATTATCATTAAGTCCGCTTTAATCAAACTCTAGACCGTTTGCCTAGAAAGTCCGGTTTGTTTGGGGAGGTGTGAATGCGCAGTCGAAATCCGATACGGACCAAAAAAGCGAACTCTGGTCCGCCTAAAAACCTAGATCTCGGTTCGGTTGAAGTGAACTCTGGTGCGGTTCGAATGCAGTGTGAATGCAAGCGGACCAGAGACTGCTCCAAAAGCAGGAAGTGGACTACAGCGCAGGGCAAACAAACACACATTTCTCTTACCTCATACGGAGCCGTCAGCCACTTTGTGTGAAAAACAACATTCTCCATGGTCTTCTGCCTCATCTTCCACTCATGCTGAGTCCATTGTTGAAAAATGACAAAACAGAAATCCTAAAACTGCTCAAATTTGATGCCACTCCATTTTTGTTTTTATTTCCAGAAGAAGAAGAAGAAGTGTCTTCTTCAGAGGTTTTTGTGTTGTTTACTTCAGTAGTTCTTGGTGCAGTGCCACCACAGGTGAGGAGGGGAACAGATTGGCTCAATTGACAGTGCAGTGTGAATGCAAACTGCACCAGCTGAAATGTAAACAAACGTTATGAATATTGGTCCCCAACCAAACTGAGTCTACCGGACTATCAGGTGTGAAAACAACCTATGTTTACCTAAATTTGGAAACACTCCACTTTTGTCAAGCATCCTCTTTCCCCTTACTTGACAGTTCCGAGCCCGACTTCTCTGTCTGTCACGGCTGCCAGTGGGCTCCTGCCTGCGTACGCCTACCTGGTTAGCTTGGCACTCACCCCCACCACTCTTTTAGGGGCGTCGATTTTTTAAGGATAGACACGGAAATGCTACTTGAAGAGGCAGATCATATGTGATATCAAGAGGCTCGTAAGCGGCTGTTGTGTTTAAAATGAGTGTTTATGTAATTATTTTCAGTTTACTTATCCAGTAAATGTTTTATTCGTTCAAGGCAGTCATACTTGTTCATAACTTTATTATTAGTAAGCCTGAGGGTTACCAGATCCAAGCAATTGGTTACCGGAACGCACCCTGTCAAAATAAGAGCATTCCCGGATCCAGTTCTGGCAGGATCCAGCTCAAAGTAAGCACTGCTTTTATAAAACGAGAGTATGCACTGGTCATGCAAACTTGTAAATTCAATGCAGCCACGGCAGAACACACACACACACAGTCAAAAAAATTAATTTCTGTATTTGGTAGTGAGTTTCTCTGCATGCAAACCATTCCCTTGACAGTCCACTTCAAAACTTTCCTGGACCATTGAAAACTCTTGGCTTTCCACAAAAGACCTTCCATGTTCATCTCTTCACTGCATAGTTGAATGTATAAGTATAATACACATATTTTGCCTTAAACGATTTACTTCAATGCCTCTGGTGGTTGATGAATCCACGTATAGTTCAAGGTTCAAGGTTCTTTGTCATTCGCATCACATGTGGTACATGAGGTGGAACGATATTGTGTACTCAAGGTCCCATTTACACCCAAAAATAGCAAAAATATAAAGTATAAAAAAAAAGAAAGTATACTGTACAAGGAACTAAGATACACGCTAAACAATAATAATGTAATTTAATACAATGTATTAAACAGCAGTCTGAACATGAGTCTGTTGTGAGCAGATGGGTATGAATACAGCAGCTTAAAGGAAAGAAATCAGCAGCATGGATAGTCAGCAGCACATATCAAGTCACATATCACCAATTAAAGTGGCATTACTATGATTTTTCTAGTTAGGGATTAATGAGTCTAACAACTTTAGAATATAAGCTGTTCCTCAGTCTAGTGGTTCTACACTTAATGCTCCTTAACCTCCTTCCTGAGGGGAGCGGGGCAAACGTGTGTGTGCTGGGTGAGTGGGGTCCTTCATGATGCAGGTGGCTCTCTTCCTGCATCTAGAGGTGTAGATGTCTGTGATGATGGGGAGACTGATTCCGACAGACTTCTGTGCAGCCTTCACCACTCTCCGCAAAGCTTTTCTTTCTGCAGCTGTGCAGCCTCCATGCCACACGTTGATGCTGGAGCACGTGATGCTGTCCACTGCACACCTGTAGGAGGTGAGGACTGAGCTTCCCAGTCCAGCTCGCTTCAGCCGGCTGAGGAAGTAGAGTCTGATGTGCTTTCTTGATCAGACTGGTAGTGTTGTTTCCCCAGCTGAGGTTATCGTTCAGGTGCACACTGAAGTACTTATAGCTGGAGACCATTTCCACCACAGTGCCTCCTATGTTTTGGTGTGTGTGTGTGTGTGTGTGTGGGTGGGGTGGGGGTGGGGGGTTACTTAGGTGCATTTGCTCCTTCTGAAATCCACAATCTCCATCTTGTTCACAATGATGTGGATGTTCTTCCTGTACCAACTCTCCAGGTGTTCCACCTAAAGTCTCTAAATACCTGATAGCAAAAAAGGTGTATCCATTAGGAGTGGCAAGACCGCCCCTGGTCTAGATTACATTTGGACTTAGCATGTTCATTTATAGGTCAGATGTTCATTGAGATGGACACAAACTCAAGGATTCAAGTCCACATATTGAGCATTTTGTCAAGCAATGCGAAACTCCAGCAGGTGTTTGCAGTGCATGGTTAGCCCGACAGTGGTGACTGATCACTGCCCAATATTCAGTGAATGTTTTGGTTAGTTTATGAAGCTGAATGTAGATCACATCAGAACTGCAACTTTCCACCCTGCATCTAAAGGGTTGGCAGAGTGGGCTGTTCAAAGGATGGCCTTAAGTGCATGACAAGAGACTCAGACAGCTGTCACATTTACTTTTCATGTGCTGCCTTGCACTTCTCAGATGCTGATGGGATGTCAGCCCATTTCAGGATTACTCTTGCTGTGGACAGACAAGACCAGAGGAGAGAGGAGACTGGGAAAAAAAGTGGGGTATGATCAGCTTTCACAAGCAGGACTGTTGAAACCACAGGACAGTGTTTAGAATTTCAGCAGCAGTCAATGGTTGATTCTTAAGCAAAGTACCCATTTTCATTTGAGGCCAAGCTGAATGAGTGTCATGTGCACTGTCTTAATACACGTGCAGAGGTTGAGACAATCTGAAGTTTGTGTACATCTGGAGAAAAGCTTCAGACGCCTTCACAAAACTTCAGGTGGATGATCTAAAAATGTCAAGTTCATCCACATCAAGTTAATTTCAGTACAGGCAGAGTGCAAGGAAGCAGGTTTGCCTTTAGTTTTGACTGCCACCCTCTGGATGAAAAGGGCATGGAGTCCATTCATCCCCAGAGGGACAAACGTTTTTTTGCTGAAATGCATAGTGGGTCAATTTTGCAAACAAGACAAGCTGAAGTTATTTTAAGTCCACAGAACTGGTTTTAAACTTTAAGAACCCTTGTACAATGCCAGTCAAGACTGTAGTTTGATTTAAATGCATTAATGGAACACTTTCACATTTATAGCAACCCACCGTTACAAGTTGAACATTTTACTTCTAGTGGCCAAGTTGGGCCTAGAGAAATGTCAAGACAAAATGTTGGCAACAGTTTATTATGAACCAGCTTGTACCTTTTCAAAGACATGCAAGGAAAATTTAAAATGCTAAACTAGTCAGGCAGTTAAGAGTTTCTCAATTTTAGGAGCTTTGAGGTGCCCTTGGAAAGATGATCTTCTGCTCTCCAGGTCTGCTGGGAACATCTGAAGGAACAGGCCCATGTTCTCTCAAGTAGTGAACATCTTGATAGTAGTCCTTGCCCTTCTCATGGTTTTTGCTGAAGGTGGTGTAGGTGCCAGGAGGGTACAGACCATACAGGAGCCTGAAGTCAAATGCTGGATAAAGATAAGGGTACGGGTATGGACCAGGGTAACCCCCCAAGCCACCAACAATTGGCAGAAATGGACTTGCATAACCAGGCATCATATGATCATTTGCATAACCAAGTTCCTCAGTTTCCTGCTGGTAGTTCCCAAGTTCAGCTTCCTTCACAACATTGGAAGTCTCCCCAGACTGGAGGACAGGACCATATGGTACAGGAGGATGGGGAGCTGGGACAAAGTCACTGGAGCCAATAGCTTCAGTGTTGGCCAATCCCTCTTCAGAGAAGATTTTAGGCTCCACAGACCACTTGGTTTCTGGAGGAGAGAGGAATCATTTAAAAAAAAAAAAAAAATCAGGACAACAGTGTTGTAAATGCTGTGCGTTGTAGGACATTACCAGGTAGACTAGACTGGGCAGCTTCAGTCTGTGATGAACTGAGATATTCAGCTGGCATAAAGACAGGGTATCCTGCTCCAGGCATAGAGCTCACACTACTTAAAGCTTGTCCAGGCATTTGCAGTGGCCTGGGAGCGCCAGAATACATGGGTGCATAGTGGCTGCCAACTCCTTGATAAGCAGAATGGCCTCCAGTATATGAACCACCGCTGCTCTGGTCATGGGATTCTAAACCTGAACACAAGATATGCATTCAGAAGCAGTAGAGTGAACTACTGTACACTTTGACAAATATAAAAAACTCTTACCTTTAACTGGAGAGCCATGTGTACCCAGAATCAGCAGAGCACAAAGGGAAACCCTGAAGTCAATCAAAATAAGATTTATTTTTGACTAATAACAGTAAATAAACATGTTCAAAATCAGATTTTAAGAAAACATTGATTATTACCCCAGGAAGACCTGCAAAGTCAGCATACTGAATGCCTGTAGTGAATAAGTCCAATGATGAAGGTTTATAAATGGTCCCAGAAACCAGTCCTGACCAATCAGAGCTTTTTAAGCAAACAAGGCACAGCTGGTGAAGACTGAGTCTACAGATAATGAAATCAGCAATTTCTGCATTCAGCTTTACCTTCCATGCCAAACTCCAGTTACTGTATTTAGACATTTTGTTATCATCATCATTTATGTGTTATTCTTATTACTCATAAATATTTGTGGTATTTCTCTGAAATGCTTTAAATCATATTTAATATGTAAATTAATATTTCCATAATTAAGGCTTCTATAGCTGTGAGTAATCTCAGAAATAGACATCAATAATTTTACCAAATTGCTAGGTAAAATTATTCATCTATGTTTGTTCAGCACAAAGTACATTCAGAACTACAGCAAAAAATATTTGATTTTCCAATTGTTTATGATTTTTATATTTAACCCTGATTCTTCACAGAAATGTTTTTATTCAGACCTTTTTCTATATATTTTTTAACACCAGTGAATTAATAAATTTGTCTCTGAGCTACAGTCTGAGAGATTTTCCAATCAATGAAATATGAGGTTAATTTTGTCACAGAAATCACATCTACAAATGTTTAGGTCCACTTTTACTGAGTTTTAGTCTGGTTGATTCCCATTAGGTTTAAACTTTTTTGTTTAAACTGGTTGTGAAGGGTAGTGCCGGCCCAAGACTAAATGGGGCCCTATGCGAAATTTGGTTTGGGGCCCTCTATTTCTGCTAATAATGTGTATTACTGCAATCAACAGTCAGATGATCAGATCCTTCACCCACCTAACATCAACTCATTGCAACTCTGACAGCCCTGTTTACATTATCCTATATGTATATGATGCTAAAAGTAACAAAAAAAAAACAAAAAAAACTCCATATGCAGTATGTATTTTACAGCAAAAGTGTCATCTGGTTCATTATCTGGTTCCAAAGAACTGCAGCAGTTATGTTCAAAATAATTTGTAGTGCAAGATCAACAACAAACAACAGATAAAATAACTTAGATGCATAAACATAAATTAAATTGTGCAAAAAAAAGACAAAATAAAATAAAAAACATCAAGGAAATAAATAATGTAAATTAACAATTACTTGAAACCACGTAAATGGTTTAAAAAATAAATTCAAAGTTGAATAATTAGTTCTTGTCCCTGTGATGGACTTGCGACCCGTCCAGGGTGTACCCCGCCCCTCGCACAGTGATTGCTGGACATGGGCACCGGCGACCCCCGTGACCCAAAAATGGAAGAAGCGGGTAAAAGATGATGGATGGATGGATAATTAGTTCTTAAAACTATGTAAATGCATGCAATAAATTTCTAAAGCTGAACTTAAAATATTAAATAGAATCATATAGAAATCTTTACTAAAAATAAATAAATTAATTAAATTCCACTTAGTGGACCCCCTAGTGACCCCGGGGCCCCAAGCAGCTGCTTAGTTTGCTTATGCCTTGGGACGGCCCTGGTGAAGGGTCTTTTGTATCTGCTAGATAAAACACATTTTATGTATGACAACTAGACACTTCTGCCACAGTTCAAGAATTCTTACAATTTCACATTTTTGACACTACAACTGTTTTAGGTTTAATTTTTTTCTCTGAATGTCTCATGAAGACTGCTGTCAGGGAGTGAGAGACACAGATTTGTGATTACCATGGTGACCATAATGACCAGTGGCTGCATGATATTCCATGAAACCCAATGAATCCAATCAGCTACTTAGACTACAAGCATATCTTAAAGACATAAAAACCTGGATGACCCTTAATTTTCTGCATCTAAACTCAAACAAGTCTGAGGTTTTAGGTTTTTTTAATACCTGAGCATCTTAGGAATACATTTTTCAGTCTTTCGCCCTCCTTGAATGACATTAATCTGATCTCCAATTCTAATGTTAAAAATCTTGGTGTTTTTTTTATCAGGACATGTCTTGGAGTGGAGAGGGCTTGTGGGTCCTCCTCCTCCTTAAATTTTTGAATAATGTAGATACTATTTCCTGAATTTTGGTGTAGCCTATTTTAACGGGTTGTTAAACATCTACGTTTACCTACATTTGTAAACACTTGATTAAATTACTATTTTAGAGAGCAACAACAGGTTTTGTGTGAATAGAGCAGCTCCGATTTGGTCAAGCGCCCTAGCCACCACCCCATCCCACGTTTCTGAGTCGAACTCTTCTCTGCTGAATTAATTCCATGCATTCCAGCTATTTATTTAATGAAAGTAAATTAGACTGTCTTTTCGACATTTTGATCTCTGTTATTTTGACAAATTAGCGCCGTTGTTTTGATACGTGATTAATGTGACAAATACACATCAAACATTTCACGCGTTGTATTTTTTTTACCGTAAGATTTTTTATTTATTATGTCTGAAATGTATGTAGGAGTTCTGAAACATCAGAAGTTGTAGAGCTGTCTGGAGATGCTCCTGTGCGTAATGTGCACTGTCCGCAGGGCACGCTGCTGAAGGTGTTGGATGAAGACGCTTCATCCCCATGGGACATGCCATCCGCGTCTCTGCTGGGCAGGAAGGTGTGCTGAGTTGGTGCGTGTGCTGCGGCCGGAGCATCCACTCCACAGACTGGGTCCGCCGGGCCAAGGGCAACGTCTCCTCTTGTTGTACTTTCAATAAATAGTCAAAATAAGAATGTGCGATAACTTTGAACTTTTAGGGGCGGAGATTTGAGTTGCTGGATCCAAGCAAACAGTTGCTGGAATGCACCCTGTCAAAATGAGAGTTCTTGGATCTTGTTCCGGCAGGATCCGGCTCAAATTAAGCGCTGACCCCAAGTACTTGAAGTCCTGCACCTTTATGACCTCTGCTCCTTGTAGCCTCACTGTTCCACCGGCCTCCCTCTCATTCACACACGTACTCTGTCTTATTACAGCTCACGTTCATTCCTTTTCTTTCAAGTGCATACCTATACCACTCCAATTTCTCTTACGCCTGTTCCCTGCTCTCACCACAGATCACAATGTCATCTGCAAACATCATATTCCACGGGGGTTCCTGCCTGACCTCCTCTGTTAGTCGGTCCATCACCAGAGCAAAGAAGGGGCTCAGAGCCGATCCTTGATATAATCCTATCTCCACCTTGAAGCTATCTGTCACTCCTACAGCACATCTCACCACTGTCCTGCTGTCCTCATATATGTCCTGTACCAGTCTAACATACTTCTTTGCCACTCTAGATTTCCTCATGCAATACCACACCTCCTCCCTCTGCACTCTGTCATATGCTTTTTCTAAATCCACAAAGTTCTTTCTGACCCTCTCTGTACTTTTCCATCAGCATCCTCAAAGCAAAGATGACATCTGTAGTGCTCTTTCTTGGCATGAAACCAAACTGCTGCTCACAAATAGTCACATCTTGTTTAAGTCTTGCTTCCACAACTCTCTCCCAGATCTTCATCGTGTGATTCATCAACTTAATTCCCCTGTAGTTGCTACAACTCTGTACATCACCCTTGTTTTTAAAAATGGGCACCAGCACACTTCTCCATTCCTCAGGCATTTTCTCAACCTCAAATATTCTATTGAATATATGAGTCAAAAACCTCACTGCTATCTCTCCATTACATTTCCAAACCTCCACTGGTATGTCATCAGGTCCTAATGCCTTCCCCTTCTTCATTCTTTTCAGAGCTTTTCAGGCTTCACCTTCACTAATCTTTCCCACTTCCTGGTCCACAGCTTCTATGACCTCTACTCTTCTTTCTCTTTCATTCTCTTAGTTCATTAGCCCCTCAAAGTACTCCTTCCATCTTCTCGTCACACTCTCCTCACTTGTTAGAATATTCCTACCTTTAACAAGCCTAACCTGCTGCATATCCTTTCCTGCCTGATCCATCGGTTTTGCCAATCGGTACAAGTCCTTCTCGCCCTCCCATACAACTCATCATATGCCTCCTGCTTTGCCTTTGCCACCTCCATCTTTGCTCTACATCACATCTCCTTGTATTCCTGTCTCCTCTCTTCAGTCCTCTCCCTGTCATATTTCTTCTTGGCTAATCTCTTTCTTTGAATAGCTTCCTGCACTTCATTATTCCACCACCAGGTTTCCTTATCATCCATTCTCTGTCCAGATGACACACCAAGTACCTTCCTGCCTGTCTCTCTAATTACTGTTGCTGTAGTAGCCCAGTCATTTGGAAGCTCTTTCTTACTACCTAGAGCCTTTAACAGCTCCTCTCTGAATTTTTCACAACATTCTTTCTTCTTCAGCTTCCACCATTTGGTCTTCTCTAATTTTACTTTTTTCTTTTCTTCACAACAACAGTCATTCTACACACAACCATCTGATGCTGTCTGGCCACGCTCTCTCCAGCCACAACCTTATAGTCCCCAATCTCTCTCAAGTTTCCTATACACAGATTGTAGTCTATCTGCGTACTCCTGCCTTCACTCTTATACTGTAGGTCAATCTATGTTCCTCCCTTTTTTGAAAATAAGTGTTGACTACAGCCATTTCCATTCTCTTGGCTAAATCCACCATCATCTGTCCTTATTGGTTTATTTCCTTGACACCAAACCTACCCATCACTTCCTCATCCCCTCTGTTTCCTTCACCAACATGTCCATTTGGGTCTGCTCCAATTCCTCTTTCTTTTCTCCTTGGAAATATTCTCTATCACTTTATCCAGAGCCTTCCAAAATGTATCTTTCTCCTCCACATCACATCCAACCTGTGGATTATAACCACTGATTATGTTTAGCATGAGACCTTCTACTTCTACCTTCAGGCACATCACCCTATCTGACACTCTTTTCACCTCTACTACATTCTTTGACAACAGCTCCTTCAGGATCATCCCTACTCCATTTCTCATTCTATCCACACCATGGTAAAACAGTTTGAACCCTGCTCCAGGGCACATAAAACATCTACCTTCCTTCTCTGCATCGCCAGCCAGCTCTCTACCTTTGCCTGTCATTGTCCCCACATTTAGAGTTGCAACCCTCAGTCCT